TGGGCAACTAGAAAATGTAAAAGAATGAGAAGTAAATCATTGCAGAGTTGATGGAGATGTTCCGTCATTCTTTTCCCACTTGAATAAGCTGCCCAAGCTGCGAAAACAGGAGCTAATACCACACCGACAGCTATGCCGGCAATAGATACGGCACGTAATGCGACTGTGCCAGCTGGAATAGCAAATCGTAAGATATCATCGATTGACGTGCATATTGTAGCCACAACAGCCAAGAACTTAGTTCCATGACGGATCACATTACGTTTCTTCTTTATTACTGAACTTTTTCTTGGGTCTTGGTATATTGATGATACTTGAATACATGTGTTCGCTGCTTCTGATTTGTCATATTCTAAGTATTTGAAATAGCCAGATTCCAAGGTTTTTTTTCGCACTGTAACATTTTTCTTCTTGAGATATTCTTCCAGAGAATCTTTGGTGCCACGAAATGTGTTTGTTATTGCCGATCTGTCGTGTACACCAAAAGCTTGACGGATTTTCTCACGTCCGAAAAAAGCTGGTAGTTCATCAAGAAAAGGAACAAGACTAGCACCAGCAGCAAGCCATTTGTATCGTGTTGTGGAGACAATATAACCACGGCAAAAGCATGTATTGATAACGGTTCTGGAAGTGAGAATGGCAAGTTTACATATTCGGGTGATTCGAATATCCGTAATAGCAAAATAGATCAACTTTCTCTTCAGTTCATCTAAATCAAATTGAGCCCAAGATGCATCTTTCAAGTCGTCTTTGCATGCAACTGCTGTGAGATAGATTTTATTTGTTAAACGGTGATCGTCGAATGCAACCAAAGATTGATTTCTCGTTTGCATCACAGCTTGTCTTTCATCATAGGTTCGAGCAGTCTCCTTCTTGTAATCCTTTCCCGTCTCTTCTTTGAAAACATCGCTAAACAATAAATCAGCTTTACTTCTTACTAACAGACATTTTCGTTGAAGAGTTTTTTCGATATATTGTTGACAAGCACGGTTGTGTTGATCGAAAGCTCCGGAAAAGACAATTATATACAGATCACAGTCTGCTTTGGTAATTAATTCCATATAGTTTCCTGCAGATAAAGATTCGTCAACATCAATGGCTCCTTCAATATCAACGAAAGTGAAAGGAATAATTCTCTTAGTTTGAGGATGTTGATAGATGAGTGTGTCGAATTGTAAATAACCGAATGTACTTCGTGTAGTATCAATCATAGCAGAGTATTGCTTGGCATTAGCTAGTTCGATTGCTAATGCACTTTTCCCCACAGATCCATGACCAATGAAACCAACTTTGTATGGAATAGAGTAGATCGACTTTTGATCTTGGAAGAGTTGGTTGAGATCGAGCTCTATGGCTTGAAAGAGTTCGATCACTTTGGGTTTAAATTCATCACCTGTACCATAATCATTTTGCCATGTTTTCATCAATTGAACAGTCATCGGAAAAGTAGCCATCATCTCTAGTTCCTCTATTCGTGCGCATAATTTTTCCAGCAATTGAATGTACTTGAAACAAGGAATGTCTTGAACTTGACTGCATTGTGCAGAACCAGCATGATCATCTTGTGAAAGTTTTACGTCGCGTAACAAAATGACATATTTATCAATACATCGTTCGATAGCTCGTAGATTTCCACGTAAACAATTAAGATCATCTTCGACTTCGGATATGACTTCTAATCTTTTCTCTGCTTTATGAGTGTATTTATCAAAAGTCGTCTTTTGATCTGGGTTTTTGTCTAACGATGATCGAACTGTTTCTAAACGTGATGAAAGACATCGTCGTCGAAAGTCAAGATCTTGAAGAATCTTATCGATCGCATTGATATTTTGTTCAGCTGAGAGTATTTTCAAATGATCCATACCATACTGTTCCTCCAGATGCTCGCGACGAGATTCAGGAATGTCTATTGTGATGTTGGGATCATTCGTTTCGAGTTTTTCGATGATATTGACTAATGTCTGGCATAGAATATGAAAGTCTTTCATACCTTTCATATACTTTTGTAAACAATTCTCCATATTAGCGCCACGATGTTTCATTTCTTCATGTTTGTCCTTCATTTGATCGACTAGTCCTCTGAGATCAACGCATAGTTTGATCACCTCTTCAATGAGCTGTTCATCAAATAGATCAGGAGAAGTCACTTGTAATCTCGTCCGAAAAGTATCAAGTCGAGATTCCAGATGAATCAATCGAAATTCGATGTTTCTGATGAGAGGTCGGCATGAGACAAACTGCTTGTTGTTCTGCAGGTCATATAAACTCTGAACTCCATACGTTTCACACATATTCTTCCAGATGATATGCTTATGAATGAAGGCGTGTAGTCGTGGAATGACACCTTTCTTGCATGTAATACATGCAAACACATGTTCCTGGGTTGATCCAACAACAGCCTGAACACAACCGTTGCAATACTGTTCCCCACAGTGTTCAGTAGGACATTCGAATAAAAGTTGATCTTCCAGAATTCCAAAAGAATTCTCACATAAAACACATACGGGATGGCTCTACAAGGTATTTAAAATATCTTAGATAGGTACATCAATAAGAGAACAACACATACATATCGGATAAATAGATTTTGATAGTGGTCTTTCTTAGGTAAATCAGGGACAGAAGTTAAGGGAACTTCGACGTTGTTCTGATCATAATATGTGAGAATAGCGTTTCCATCATGAAAATCAAGCTCTTTGTATAGTGCAAAAGCATCTTCTGTGATATCTTCCACTGAGGTATATTGCTGTGTGTTGAGAATCTTTTTTGCAGATAAAAAATGAACATGGAAATGATGATAATTTTCTCGAGGTAGAACTGCCATTGATTGCAACTGACTTCGCTCGTCTGAATTGAGAGTAGCAGTTGTGCTTGCTATGGAGATTTGTCTTTTAGCTTGCATAGTATCAAACTCGTTACGAAAATGTTTTCTAAATGAAACTTAGCGCTTAATGTTGTCTCTTTTTATATTTGAAAGAAAGCGAGATATTATTTTTCTCCAGGAAGAAAAACATCAGTCGTCGGCATATCTTTCCAACATTGATGTGCTCTCATTTGGCGTGATAAGTATAATAAAAAACAGTTTATCTCTTTCTACGTTATCAGAGAAAAAGCAAATAATTCAAAATAGATAAAAGATGAAGAAGGACGCTTAGTTTTCTGCATAGATATGGCCATCAGGGCTCTGATGCAAGCATGTGCAAATATGAGTCAAAGATTCCAACATCACCGTCTTCGCAGTTAAATGAGTGAGAGTATCATAATATATCTTGTTGTCTTCGATTATCAATTAAGTGGATAGGAATATCATTAATCTACACCTAAGTTTTACCCAAAACAACCAACAAGTACAGAAGGCATACAAGTGGAAATGAGAAGACATGAATTCTAATACCCTAGTTGAAATATTGTCAATACGAAAATTGTCTAGGTGTATAAACTCGTCAACTTCAATAACAATATTTATTTACAAATGCCATCATTTCCAGTGAATTGAAGTGCAAAAAAAAGAAAGATCACACACGAAATCGAACAATTCAGGCGAGTATGCACAAACAGCTACCACAATCTGAATTACAGCTCAATTAATTTGAAGATATTCGTTGGAAAAGGAATATTCCTCGAAGAATTATTTGTAATGAATGTCAATTTGAATGGTATTTTTTTTGTCATTCACCATGGCATGACAAAATGACTTGTGAAGAACATCAACAAGAAGAGAAATGCTTAGTTTATGGACATCATAAATCGATCAAAATCAACATAATGCACAAGAATATCCTCGTTATAAAGTTAGTTTATTAAAAAAAACAACTTTTCTTTTTAAGGTCACCCTCCTCAAAATAAAGTTACTCATCGATCTTGGGTGTGGGTGTTCACTTCTTCGCCACCCACACCCTTATTTTCCTGTATTTTGAAAAACTTCTAATACATTTTTCTTGTTTTTCTGATTCAATTTTCAATTAAATCTGATTAGTTAATATTTGAACTGTAATGTATTATTAAATGACTGCTTTTATATTGTTTTTAGTATCTTTGAATGAATTCATCAATAACATATTTGAATTATCAACATCATCACTTATAGCTCGTCATCGTCATTTAAATCGTATTTATGAACAATAACGACGACGATCAGTTAAAGCATCATCAAAATTAATTTTAACAAATGCTAATGATGAAAGAAAACATATGTCAAATAAAATTCTTGAACGATAACGTTTAAGTTATGCTCGTAAACCGAAATTTATGCTTCATCAACCATCTAGTTCAAATCATTAATCTTTTCAATCCTGTCATTTTCTTGTGTTCTCTACGAACACGAAGAAAGATAGTTGAACCTCTCTCTCTTGCGTTCAGTTATTACAATTATCTATATTCGAACTTTAGATTCATTAGCGACAGCCATAGGAAATGATTTTACTTTGAATACATCGTATGATATTCGTCGTCTAAGATGGCGACAGAACGCAACAAGTTTTTTTTTCTGTTCTGCATGTCATTTTGTAGATGACATACTGAATTGAAAGGGTTACCTAAGTTCTTCTGGTTTTTTTTTGGTTGTACCGTCAATGTTTGGTACAGTTTCGACAGAATGAAAAATGTATAAAAAAAATGTCGTTTTTTTACCATCTATTTTCTGTTATTGGTCTGTAGGATTTCAATCGAATCTGAGTCTATGGACTGATCGATATATTTACATGTTTAGTTGCATATGCATAAATTTTTTTCTGTTTCTAGTGCTTCTTTTTTTTCGCTTTTTATGTGTGCCTGTATATAAAACCTTTTTTTTTCTGTTTCTATGGTTCAGTGTGTAAGAGAAAAAGAAAAAAAAAAGAATGGTAAATTATTATTGGAATAAAAACGTGATTTTGTGAAAAAACGAATTCAATCATGTCTTGTTTTTTTTTGCTTTCATCTGTGTCGCATTCGAAAGGCAATAGAACTAATAGTTATTCTAGATTTTGTTAGAATTGGATAATACCATTAATACTGTATCAATGGAAATAAATAAATTGCATCATCAAGGTAATCATATTTGCATGTTTACAAGGACAGAAAAAAAAATGCTTCGTAATGTATATGTTTGGTCTGTTTGATAATAATTCATAAAAGATATCTGATTAATATGAATGAATGTTATGGCATTGGTTAGTATTTAATTGATTGTGATTTGATATTATTTAGTATTAGTAACTCAAAAAAGAAAAAATTCGAAATTATAATAGATCAATTTTTTTTGTATTTACCTTATACAAGAGATCTTTTTCATTTTCAAAGAGTATTTTTGGATATAATTGAGAAATCTTATTGTGTGCATTTGTGAAATTTGATTTTTTTAAAGAAGAGTTAACGTTCGGGATTATTCTGTTATATGGAGAGCAGCTTGCAAGAATACAAACAAATATTGTACCAACACTACTCTAGACATCAAACTTCAATTTACAGACAATTATAAAAAAGATCACTTCGTCTCGAATTATGTCATTCACAAAAAAATTGAAAACCATATGATCATCCACAGATCTGAAATATACTATCATTTTACAATCTGAAGGCTCTTATATCGACGCAAAGCATTTCTGACCCAGTTTTCAATTATCCTCATGTGCCCTAGGAAGAGCTTTATCTCTTTAATTAGTTGTAATATTCCCTAGCGTTAATACAATGGCCTAGTCCTCAGACGGTGAGTGTCGTTAAACATTCGCATTCAAGCTCATATCCAGACGCTACGTCTTCTTACTAGGTGGTAGCACATCGTCATAAAACTGCACACTACTCAGCAGTACGGAATGTAGCAATTAATTGAAGAAATAAGGCTCTTCGTAGGGGTTCATGAGAATAATTGAAGCTCGGGTCAAAAATGCTTTGCATTGACATAAGGACCTTCAGCTTATAAAAGGGTACCATATTTCCGATCAGTGGATATAGACATGGAATAATATTTTCTAATTTTTTTTTTGTAGTATTATGAACGATGGTGGCTGTTGTTGTGAGTATGTGTTGTATTTTTCGGAGGTCGTAGACGATTGCGGACCCGACTAAATACTGTAAAAATCTCGAAAATTATCCTCGCATTCTATTACTACTGTGGACAGAAATGAAGAATTTATTTTGTCTAGATACTCATTTAGAACATCATTTTCAAAATTTGAGTAAAATTTTATTAAAAAATGCGAAATCTATTTCACAAATGTCTTTTATGAATGATCCATAGAGTCAAAGTCATTATCGTCTCATTCATCGATCGAGGTTACAACTACGGTGAATCACTCGGTAGTCAACGATCTGATTACTGATGAATATCAGCAAGAAACTCATTCTATATCAGATACATCTCCTTTGCAACTACATTCATTATTACCATCTCATCATGCATTTCGTTTTATTTCATTATCTGCACAAGTTTTTTTATATTATCTAACTTGTGGCTACTTACTAGTTCGTTGTATTAATATAAAACATTAAATATTTATTTAATTATCTTTATTTTAAAGGAACTTCTATTCACATTGGAAGGCTTCAAATATACATCTTGGTTTCTAGCATGTTATCAATTTTGTATTTATAGTATTCTTTCATTTATTCAAATTGGTTTTACTGGATTAAGTCAACGAAAGTATTTGATATTTTCGAAGTCTTGTTTTTTGTGTCGAAACAATTTTTATTTCTAGAGCAAGTTATCGATCTTATCTAATTCTTGCCATACTCACTGTAGGTTCTATGGGTTTATCAATTCATTCAGTTGGTTATTTGAATTATCCGTAAGAAAACATTATGAATTTAAATATATATTTATATATTTGTTTAGTACACAATTAATGTTTAAATGTTGTAAATTAATACCGGTACTTATTGGTGGTATTATTATTCAAAGTAAAAATAACTAAGAAGAAATCTAAAAAGAAATACAATGTTTTTTTTAAAATTTTTATTAAGAAAAAAGATTTAATCGTTATGATGTTGCTGCTACTTTTTGTATGTCAATTGGATTAATATTTTTTACTCTAGCTGATTCAAAAGTTGGACTAAATTTTAATGCATACGGTATAGTTAATATAGAAACAAAAGTGACAAACAAAATTTTATTCGATAGAAATCATTATTCTTTAGGTGTAATTATTGTTTGTTTGGCTCTTGTTGCTGATGCTATTATTGGTAATTATCAAGAAAAAGTTATGAAAACATATCATGTATCAAATGTTGAATTAGTAATATAAAAGACAAAAGTCTTTTTCATTTCTAATTATAATTACTTTAGATATTTTATAGTTTTACATTTGGTTTTCTTCTCATTTTACTTGGCTTATTAGTAACAAATAATTTATTTTCAAGCATCGCTTTTTGGAATAAGGTTTTTATGTTTTGTCTATATTAATATAATTTATTTTCATATGTAGAATGATTATATTAGTTAAAAAAACAAATAGATATCAAAGTCAAGTTGTTCTATGATAGAAGAACAAAAATTCAATCGAAAACATAAGCTTACTAACTTATAAGATTAAAAATAAAAATATCACAAGATCATCGTTCGTCCACAATTACTCTAATGGATTGATATTACACTATGTATAATAAGACTCCTGAAGGAATCTCAGAAGATATCCCTTCCGTTTTCAATGATTTTTTACACCTACATAATGTTCTAATATAAATCTTTAAAATTTTTATGTTTCTATTAAGAATTAACGAAACTATACAGCTTGATTCGAATATTCTTGATAAATTTGCAGTGTTTATGCAAAACATCGAAGACTCTTTATTTTGACATACTCGGATAGAGAACATCAATTACTCGATCGAATCATATAGTTTTTATTTTATATCTTGTCAAAAAATTTGATTAAGTTCGTGAATGTCTGAAATGAAAACTTTTATACATTCAGAATTCAGCAACAGTAAACTGAGCAAATTATTTTAGATGGAAGAAGTCGATCATAATTTATCGTGCAAAAAATAGTAAACAAAAATGATTTGAAATTAAGAAGAAAAATGATCTTAATTGTTAAATTTTGACTCATTTTTATAGCAGTAAAAAGTTGAGTTTGTATTGCTTTTTTGCAAAACTCCCAGTAAATATGATCAAAAGAAATATGGAATAAGCTCATGGAAAAAAAAGACATGTTTCGAAGTCCTGAGAAAAATTATCTGGAATTCGCTGGGTCAAAAATAACATTGTAACTGTTTTTCGAGATTTATTAAATTTTTCTACTAAAATCAAATGGAACAAAGAGGTACACTATTTGTTTCGATAGAATAATCCATGCTCTATCCAACTGTATCAAAATAAGAAATCTTCAATACTTTGTATAAATACAGTAAATTGCACAAAACTAAAAAGAATAACGTAACTCAACTGTATATTCATCTTTTTGATACCGGATTTTTCAGGAAGATTCGTATTATTGAATTGTGATTTGAAATCTTGCGCATATAGAGAACTCAATTAGACTAATTTCCATAAAAGTATTTCAAAATTTTGGAAACGTCTCTTCGAAATATGAAACTTTTAAAAAATTCATAAGCGAACATTGGGAAATGACACTAATTCTTTGCAAATATTCTCGTGCGAAGCAAAAATATTGGACAAATTGATTAAATCTTCATGCATATAGTTTTATACAAAAAAAAAAAAAAAAACATTCGTCATAAACATGAACAAACGAAGTATGAAGATGTCAAATATTATTAGAGTAACCATGTTTTGTTTCGAGATATATATACGTAAGTCAACATTCTTTGAATCTCATTCATATCTGCGATTAGTGAATATTTATTAATTTAATAGATTCTTGTCTTGTCATATTAAAATCTATTTTCTTAGATTATTATTTAGTAGTAAATGATTAAAATGAAATTTTTCTTTAGCATCCTCTTTCAACTTATGGTTATGCTTTAATACTTTCTATCTTTGGTTATTTGGGTATCGATGTTGTTTTAAATTTGATTAAAGAATATGGTGCATTAATTTGTGTTACTGTGACAACATGTCGAAAAGCTATAACAATCATATTATCATTTACACTTTTTTCAAAACCATTTGTTATCGAGTATGTCGTTTTTTTTTTCTTCATTATTAGATTTTATTTTTTATTTTTGTTTCTAATTTTTATTAGTTATGTCTGGTCCGGTTTAATTGTTGTTCTTGGTATTTATCTTAATGTTTATAGTCGAAATCAAATAGCATTTAATAGTAAAATATCATCGTATACTAATCGTTTATTAAGTTTATTTCGGTAATCAAAGTTTTTAACATCAACTAATTAAATATTCAACAAGTATAAATAAAAAATAAAAAAAAAGAAGAAAATATTATATGACTCAATAGAATTTATCAGAAACTTTATAATAAATAGGTTATATCAGAAAAAATAGAGATGCTTATTTATATTAATGTGTTTTAGGGGTGTGTACGTGAGTGTTGTCTTAAGCCCTATCCACTAACTCACGCCCTTCATAGAAATATTCATAAACATCAGTAAAATTTTTTTGGAAGAAAACATGCAAAAACTTGAAAAGAATCTAGACCAACTGGTAAAGAATCTTGGACCAGATCGAAGCAGCCGTTTATGGTTATCGGTTGTAACATTGCCCTTCATTCTGCTCGGGGTGGTGTGTGGATAGAGACAATCAATACACCTACACCCATACATTCGAGTGTATACTGTTTGGTATGTGATGATGAATCAGCACTAGTAGTTGAAGAGAAAGTATTAACGAAAATTGATGATTGAAATGGTTTAGTAAGAACAGAATTAGAATGAGAAACGGTCGTGGGTATGGGTGTTGGTAAAGAAAAAACCAGTCCACATCCACTCTCATAGCCCTACTAAATTAAATTATTTTAATGATTCAATCAAGTTTATCGTTTTGTTAAATGATAAAATTTGTTTTTTAATAAATAAAATAATGCTAAAATAATTGATAATATTAATAAAGTTAAAAAAAAATATATTTAGAAAATTGTTTATTTATTTTGTTAGCATCTTCTATCTATCTTTCATATCTATTATATACTATTTATCATTGTATTTGATAGTGTGAGGCGTGGATGTGAAGATGCGCAATTTTCTTCATGTTCACCGACGCCGATATCCACATTCTTATATTGTTGAAACTGAAGCTGAAAGATGTTTCTGATATTGAATATTAATAAACATTACCAGCCTTTACTAGTATATTCAAGATAGTTTAGTGTTCAAGAACTTCAATTAGACCTACAGCAATTAATGTGAAGTCTGGATCATTAGTAGTTCAATGAGTTTCAAGTAAGAATTTGATTTGAAAACTAATATGTTACATTCAGTAAATCATCATTCGGCACAAAAATAACTGTAGATTTGATTGTATACAAGTCTCCAATATCCACTCATTGTTGATTTTTCATAGATTTTTTTCTTCGAATTTAGAAGTCAGAAGAGTTATAATCGTATTAACCATTTATGGTATTAAGCAGTTGACTATGTAGGAGAGACGAGCTTCCGAGGCATCTAATAGAATTGTGAGAGAAGTCAACACTTGAACGATAGTTGATGAATAAACAGTGATTGTACTATTATAGTCAACTTTGACTTTTCGAAGTGATTAAATGTTGATAAAGCTTACTTTTTTAAAATAGAGTCAAAATATTAAAAAATAAATTTTTTTCGCACTGTTCTACGTGCGTGAAATTAGAGTGCAGTTTGATTTCATTGATCGAATAGTTTTCTCTATAGAACGTATTAAAGCATATATATTTAAGACAAAAGAAATAGTTAAGATAAAAACTGATTCAGTAGTAAATAAAAAAAAGAAATAAATTAAAGTTAAAAAATAGTTAAACGTTCAGAAAAGTAAGTGCAGTAAAAAGGAGCATGATTACAGTAAAAATCACTAGACAAAGACGATCGATAACCATTGCCACAAATTGCCAATCTTGAGATTCATTAGCATCTTTCTCTTTCTGTTGAAAATAATTAATAAGAATAGCAAGTTGAGAAATAATAATCCGTAACTCAGAACGAATCATTTCCATATTACATGTGTACAATTCATTAGATGTATTCTGATGATGACGAGAACCATGAATTTCTGTTACTGAAGATATCGCAAATTCTAAAGGTTCTTTATCGACATTTATAACATTGGTTGATAACAATTCGAATGTATTATTCAACAATGGTTCAGAAGAAATCTTAGAATGATGATGATTATCGATCGATCCATTTATATTATTCGATTCTTGTTTTGAGAAAGTCCATCTATGACGAATCGCACGCCAACTCAAATCATGATTAGGACGCTTCATACGTAACAGCCACGCCAAATAATTACAAATATAGTTACGAACCTAAAATGATTTCTAAAATCATGTGATTTATTTATTTTGAAATATGATTTACCCATGATGGCATTGTATAATTACTTGAATTTCGTAAATGAAGTGATAATACTAATACTGATGCAACAACTGAAACCGCTGACATAATCATAATACACATGAAATAAACGGTAATAATTGGTATAGCATTTGAACTTGGTGGTAGAATTTCTGATAGAAGTAAACTGAACATAACAACAGTTAGAAGGGTTGTAATATCTGAAAATTTAGAATGTATATGAACAAATTTTTTTTTAATCATCAAATTCTAACTCACGCAAGGTTAATTTTTCACCACTATCAGGTGATAATAAAAATCCAAGTGGTGTCATACAACTGATAAGAAAACAAGGTACTATGAAATGGAAAAAAAAATAGTATTAATACAATGATTAGAAGAAAAAAAAAAGATGTTATCATTTATAGTTTTATTACCAACGATACTTGTAAAGTAATAAAGAGAACGTCGACGCATTCGGATAGTGTATAATACGTATGGGTACATATTTGGACAACAATCGTATTTGGTGACATTATTTGTTGCAGAAAAATCTAAAACAGAATGAATAGAATAAAACACACATAATCCATCATCAACTACCTTCTAGATCCCATTCGGCACTTTTGACGTATGCATCTAATTGACCTTTGCTACTTTCAACTGTCAGATTGACTCCTAAATAATAATAATACATATAATATGCAGAAATATTTAGTAAATCATCCTAGAAAAAAAAATGATTTAACCACATACCAGCATCATCATATGTCCAAGTTCCAAATTTCAACGTACAATATTGTGTATCCTAAAAACAAAGAAAAGACAAATATTCAACAAAGAAGTATGATATGACTGACATATTTTTTTTCTTTGTACTTACAAATGGAAACAAGGCAATATCAAATGGACAAATTGATTTAAATAATATTGGCGGAACATATAATATATTGCCATCATATTGTACAACGGCATTGACTTTCGCTCTAGTATCAAACTTATCATCGATACTAGAAAAAAAAATAACAAGACATCGTTTTTCAAGATATCTATTCTTTGAAAAATAATAACCTATTGTAGAGAAAAATATCTGGTATCCAAATTTGTGTATTTGGTATTCTTAGTGTTTGAATATTACCAAACTCTTCTGGTTTCCATCTTAAACTATAATCGTTCCACATCTATACAGATATATATGAACAATACGAGTAGATATTATAGTTAGGCATGCAATAGTAACGATAACCGAGCTTCAGCTCATTAGTTACTAGTTCTTACCGGGACTAGTTTCATCAGTAACCAGTATTATGCTAATAATAGTTTATACTGGCCCATGGTGGTTTAGGATTTTTTGCTAACCAAATTTAATAAAGATATCTTTTACTAAGAAAATGAGATTTTAGTAGAACAATAATTTTTTTGTATACATATACAATTTTTCGTAAAAGAATTTTTTTTGCAAAAAAATAATCAAACTTAAAACTGCGAAAAGCCAATTGCAGATCGAAAAAAAACACAAGTTTAGAATTTTGAAAAACTGAGTACATCCTAAGCCGGTATAGCCTGATTCCGGTAAAAACTGGTTACCTGTTTGAAACTGTGAACCGATGATTCACCGTCACTGTTGCATCCTTAATTATAAATAAGTATACATACGATAGTCATCCAGCCACTAATAACAATAGCTTCATTCTTTCCATCCTATTTATATTTCAAGATCGAAGAAAACATGAAAAACAAGTGTTTAATCTTACATACAAAATTAATGATTTGTTGTAAAGACAAATTTATAGTGACAGGTAATGTGTGAGAGTCATTTTGAACAGGTCGTGCAATTGGTTTGTATCGATTATTAGGTAATAAATGTTTTAATAAACGAAGTTGATCAGGACTTCCAACTAATATTCATTATGTTTTCATTTTCGAAGAAATTCATTAACTCACTTATGAAATTGAAACAGTAACATGTGATTAGAAGAAATAATTTTAATTGTCGTTGAATTGTATGAAACATTTTCTTTGAAACTAAGAAGACAAGATGTATTAGACTTTTTTTTTGTCAAAAATTTTTTTTTACTAATACAAAAATATAAAATGTCGACAAAAGAGAGCAATAATAGAATCCATCAGGTCTATAATTTTGCAATTCTCAACAGTATTCCTAATACTTTTAATGAAAGTTTCATATTCAAATCTCATATTCGCTTCGAAGATAATAGGATACTTTTTTTTCTCGATTATTTTTATTCATTTATTAGCATTTATGGAGAGAACTCAAGAAAAAAAAAGGCTCAAAAGAAAAACAACAAGCACCTTTACTTCTAGCTGGAGTTACAACTCGATTTTTAAACTAATGTGCACATTCTACAATAGGACATGTAACAAAATGTTTCGATTATTCGTACCACTATAAAGACTTATGATGTAGATCTACGAGAGTGTATCATTGATTTAAATTAATACAGAAATATTTCGTCTTTAAACTAATTAAAATGTCCTGAACAGAGAAAATCAAAACTGAATGGTAAATCAATAAATTTTAAACTATTATCAATAGCCGAAACATATTCGATCTGAAAACAATACTTTACAGTAATATCTATACGGCTAAAATATTACTGCATTACTATAAATCAAATTTTTATAATATCAGATCTTCATTAGTTAGTAATGATTTCGAGAATCATCCAAGTCAATAATGACAAATTGTGATGAGAAAAAAACCATAGTAATTATGAAACGACATTAACGTTAAATTCACGTGTAAAAACAAGGAAATGACGGTTGCTGAATATTATTCGCAGGTAAATATAATCGTATAGGCCATCCTATTCCGTAATTAAAATGAAGAACGAAAAAGAAAGATAAACATTAAGTAATTACGATAGACAACTTACTTATCGCTTTGTCATAGTTGAGTGATAGAAAATATGAATCGAAAAAATCCGCATGTGATGATAAAGATAATAATGCCTAGATAGAATGATAGCACTTCCCAAGTTTTCTTACAGTCAATTGAGTTTCATGTTTAATATGCAAACTTTTTAAAGTAATTGGACAGCTATCAAACATAACACATCATTTTATTTCGAAATTCAATTCCTTAAACAGCAATTACTAACAGTTTTTTTTTAATTACTAGTATATAGAATGTGAAAGACAACGATATTTTTTTTAGCACGTGCTTCACCGTTAATTAATAATATTATTATAGCTGGTGCTTCTTTTCATGGAAAAAGTGCATTGGAAAAAAAAGCGACGTTTGTTTTTACTACAACATCGAGTGTCCATAATGTTGTAACATTTTTTATTTTGCAAAGATCTGGGCTTAGGTAGATGATAAAATCTTAGACTTATCTTCAAAAGATGCGCTGTGACAAGGTCTACAAAAGCTGTATGAATGCATTTCTTGTTATCTGTTCTAATCATTTTTCTTATTCTCAAAATGAGCAACTTACATAGCAGTGCTACATCCCATCATAATGAAAACGTTGGAAGACTTTTTTGTTCTGCCCATATCTCGACTCGAGAAAATATTTGAAATTTTTTCAGATATATTGTGCATGTTGAGCATAAGAAAAAGCATTACAAGCAATAAAAATGAATTCAATCATACAATTCTTGTAGAGCTTTTCACGGCGGATCTTTTGAAAAAAAATCCAAGTTTTTGTCATCCACCGAAGCCGAGACCTTTGCAAAATAAAAAATGTTCGGCATTACGGACACTCGTTATTGTTGTAAAAACAAATACCACTTTTTCTTCTAATATACTTTATATTTTAAACTGCATTTGAGGTTCAATGTAAATATACCAAAAAATAGAGTGTGTTCCAGGCTTTCTCTCTATATATACGCAGGTTAATATATTAAAAAAAAATATTCAAAGGGTATAATTTCAATTATACTGGATTTTATATAAAAACAAATTTATTAAATAAATATTATATGTCGATGATTCAACTATATATATGTGACATGTTTACATCGATTTCTTGAAAATTGATTTTCATGTTTGAAATCATATAGAATATAGTCAATTTACTTACTATGATAACAAAAGATTCGCTATAAATTCCAAAGTTGAAGACATTAACGATTGATGGGTGTGGGTGAGATAATGACTAAAGCCCGCACCAACACTGTTTTATACGATTACTCAGCATCTAATCATGAGTGAAGTTACAAGGTAAATATAATAATCAAACAGAGCATGTTAAGTAGTGTCCTGCAGGAGCAGCTTTTCTCGGTTGCCGTTTCCCATTCCCGTAAAAAAGAAGTTTTGTTCCCGTTTCCTGTTTCCATTCCTGTAAAAACAAGTTTTGTTCCCGTTTCTGTATTCTCGATCCAGTAAAGAAATTTTTTTTCCCGTTCCCGTTTCCCGTTCTTGTAAGACTTTCAAAATTCCTATTACGATTTCATTTTCCGTGTTTCAAAAAAAAAACCTATCATTATCCAATACTAGCTCTTCACACGCTAGGTCAGACATATCAGCACACAACTCCTTAAACTCCATCACAGACTGTGATAAATATCATGAGAATTCTCATATATGATTAAAGCGACTTCATCGGCTTTCACATTTTAATCTTGTGGGAATTATGCTGAAAATGTTTCTAATGTATATATAAGATATGATTATATATTTAGAATGAAGTACCAAAATAAATAAATAGACACTACATACAGTGCAATACAGTCGTTTCTCCTCTAACTAATCTAATCGATTAGTCTGGATGTTTGTTCTGGAGGCTGATTATTGCTTCATAGCCTGGTAGCGAAGATAATGGTCACAGTGGAAGTGACGCTGACACCACTGGCGTCACACAGGATCTGGTTCCGATTTGGACATCAAAATATTGTGTTTCATCGTTTTTAGTACATTTGATTTCTAGTATATAGCTCACGCGAAAATTTCTATCGTCCAAACGATAAAAGTAGGAAGAGAGAGTGCCTGCTGGAAGCTGTAACTCCATGCTACTGTCACTGCATCATGTGGTCTGCTGTAATATAACTGTTCGTTCAATGAATGCATATTGAACTTCGTAGATGCGATCCAATTGACAATGTATTGGTGTCGGTAAATCAGTCCTGATTCCAATGATTTCACCAGGCACATATACTCGTTTGTTTAGTTGAATTCTTTTGGTCGAAAGTAGCGACAATGATTCGAGGCCGAGTTCGAATTGGCGATCGACTCGAAATATTCAACTGAGCCTGAAATACTGTTTCTGTGGATCAGATGTCGATTTCATCCATCTTTTTCCAATAACAATGCGTGAATAGATGATATATTTGCCGCCTCTCTGATCATTTAACAATACTGACAGATGATCAGACAGTTTAATAGAAAAATTTCAAACGTTTTCACCGATTTTTTAGATGATCTTCTCTTGGCCATCCTTTGGTTCAATTAGCTTGTTACATTCGCAGAAGAACTTTACTCTGGTATCACTATCAGAGATAATTTCTCCTTTAGCTTCTACTGTAATCTAACTCAGTTTAATTCTGTCTCGTCGTCGAACAAAAATAACGGAGCCAGTGATCGTTTCACCGGAAAAGTAAACTGATGATGACTTACCATCAAAATTTAGTCGCAACTCATCAATACTGACGGTTGATCCCATTGTCGATCAGATTTGTTTATACAATAATACGTTCATTTTCTCTCAAATAATAAAAGAACATAATGTGGCTAATTAAACACGTTACTAACATTACGAAATTAATTTTATCATTTGTTCGGAAACTGCTTAAATAAACTCCACAGACAAAATGAGAGTGTGGGTGTGGATCTTCTCTTCAACAGAAACCACACCATTTTCCGGCTGTTTTATTAGCTTTTCATTCACTGTTGATAATTGTTTTCATGAGTAGAATTTAGTTTGAGATTTATTTAAAACGAAAATTAGATTGTCATTCAATTGTATTCAAAAACTCAATTGAAATAACTGTTCTTTTTGTTTTTGAGAATAATGCATAGTCAGACGAAACTTCTAAAAGCTCGAAAAAGACTAGTTTTTTATATTTTAATTTTTACGCTGGTCAAACGGTAATCAAATCTTATTTAAAGTTTAAATTTCCAATTTTTTTGAACAGATTAGAACATTACTTCAATAATCTATAATGTATTTTCTCTAGATAAATAAAACTCTAACACTTATTTGTATCACTAAATACGAGAAAACTTCGAGAGAAAATTTAATAATGATAAGCGATTATATAAAAATTTGCATAAATATAATCAATTACTAACAAGATCATAGAGTATCAAAAGTCTGAAAAGATATTGATGACGAGTACATGATCTAGTATGTATATTTACTTCATAGTTTAACGCAAAGCTATAAAATAACAATAATTTTATTTAAAGATCATAAATTATCCGAACATCGATTAATGACAGAATACATTAATATTAATTATTAGATTTTATTTTGATCTCTTGTACTATTAAAACGAATCTCCTTCTTTTTCTTAATCATATAAAACAAAAATTAAAAATTTGATGTATTCCAAAAATAACTCTACGTAAACATAAATATTCTTTGAATAATACTGAAAATAATCTATTTATTTTTGTCATCTAATAAACCATCTTTATTATCGAATTCAAAAATTTGATTATTTTTAACAATATACAAAATTAAATCGCTCGTGGTGAATGAAAGTCATGTTTGGAAGTGTCAATTGGTGGCTTTGGATCACTCATTCGTTTGTCATGACTGTATGAATATGCATAATTCAAACTAGCCGATTCACCATGTCTATCAATCCACTCTGTAAGAAATACTATTTGACGATGTCGAGGTGGAATACAATCATGAGTGTTAAAAGAAAAGCCACTATGACGAGAATGACGCACATTTTTTGCATGTTGTACATCAACATCAAAAATTAGATTATGTGTATCCGATTGATTCTCGACGATAAGCATCTTCAATCCCAATTCACCTGATGTTGTATAAACAATAGCTTCTTTGTTCTTGAAAACAAAAAAAAACAGACAAATCTTAT